GGTGAGCCAAGAGAAGTCCAAACCCAGCCTCAGTGAAGTCTGTCAGGAACAACAAAAGTTTTGGAGGGTCAGCCCTTGTGTCTCACGCACGAGACCCATCCTTGCCACTTTGTTATGTATTTATATTTTGTCTTGTTGGCAAGGACTTTGTGTATATCTGTATATAGTTTTGTTATGGGTTGACTCGGTTTGGATGATCCTGTCTGTAAAGGATTTTATGGTAATGTATTTTGATGTGGGTTATTAACGTACATGTATATGATTTGTTTTAAAGTGCATATAAGCATGGCTCTATGGACAAATTTTTTAATTATTGCTTCCGTTTGGCCCCTTTACTCTGTTGAGTTATATCTGATTTTGGTTTGAGGCCATAGATAATCTCAGGATTACTGGCTGGTTATGTCCTTAACCCATAGGGGCGGGTTTGGATCATGACAGTCTAGTTACCCTCATGTTGATCCAAGAAGGGCTCTTTTGTTGCATACTCAGCAAACAATTGGTTCCATGTCTGCATATGAGAACCAAGTGATGATAGATGACTTGCTGGCTTTGTTTGAGAAAGCCAACATCAAACCAAGCCAATCAAGAAGGATTGCAGATGAAACTCAGGTAAGTGAAGCACAATTTATACCACCTGTGACCTCTCAATAGCATGAAAATGTAAATGAACGTGTCATTTTATAGACCATCCACACTCCAAGAAAGATATGAGGAGGGCAACTAGAAATAATAGAAATAATATGGGAGTAAGACTTGGGGGGCAACTAAGGCCACAAATGTATGGTACTCCTACATATGGTATTCCTGCATTTGATGGGCCTGGTTACCATGAACAAAGAAATAGGCCAATGAATCAAGTAAGGCCTCAGAATGCACAGGAACATGTCATACAATAACCCTATTATGAACCTAACATGATGCATCTAAGGCTTAGAGGGCCTGGTCCTCCTTTTCCTTGCTTCCAACCAGAAGTTCAAGGAGAGAGACAATAGCAACAACATTTAGACCCTTAGGTTAATAATAGGCAGCAAATAATGAACATCATACAAGAAATGTATGGTCCAGGCTTGAGAAGGCCAGATAAACCAATGTTTAGGAGCCCTTACCCTCCATGGGTGGAAACAACTGACATTCCAAGAAATTATAGGATTCCTGAGTTTACTTTGTTTATAGGAGAAGAGAGACAGTCAACTATAGAACATGTAGGCAGGTTTATTCTTCAGTGTGGAGAACCTAGTTATGATGATAATTTAAAACTAAAACTCTTCCTTCATTCTTTGTCAAAAGTGGCATTTACATGGTTTATTAACTTGCCAGAAAATTCTGTCCATACTTGTTAGTTTCATGCCCAATTCTTCAGAACTGAGCCTAAAGTGACAATGGTGGATTTGTCAAATTTTAAACAAAAGCAAGGAGAAAGTGAAGAACAGTACATTGACAGGTTTAAAAAAGCAAAAAATAGATGTCATGTGTACATGCCTGAAATAGAAGTTATAAGGTTAGCCAAGAATGGTTTAGACTTTGAACTTAGGAAAAAGTTTGAAGGCATGATGTTTAGAGACCTGTTTGAGTTGTCTTCAAAGGCAACTAGTTATGAGGCCATTCTTAGAGAAAAGCAGCCTCATTGGGAACTTATTATCAAGAAGTTGAATTTGATATGGATATCGATATAGATGTTACTCAAGTAATAGATAAAAAACCTGTGATTTGTGAAACATTAAAGAAAGCTGACAAACCTGTAAGTATGCCAGCAACACAGCCAACCAAAAAGAATGTGACTGTATCACATAGGCAGTCTTCTTTTGATTTATCAAAAGCAGATGCACTATTTGATGAATTATTAGCAAATAAGTTTTTTACTTTGGCTCCAGGCCACAACATTCCCAAAGAAAGGGACAGGGTTGGTAAAGAGTATTGTAAGTGGCATAATTTTTTCAGGCATTCCACTAATAATTGTGTTACATTTTGCAATTGTGTGCAGGATTTGATTCAGAAGGGAATGTTGAAGTATGCTGAAAAACATTAAGGGGTCATGGTAGTTGATGGTGATCCATTTTCCAATATTGTGTAAATTAATATGGTATCAACTGATTTTCAGTCAAATGATCAAAAGAAAAAGGAAAAAGACCCTAGAGTTCTCTTGGTAGATTTAAAAAAACTTTATAAGGAGAGAATAGAAAAAAGGGCAAAGGAAACAAAAGGGAAAAAAGTTCAAGAAGAACCTAGTGAGAGGTTCATTTGTTTCAGGTGTGGTACTGATAAAGAAAAGGCTAAGGCCATTGTGATTAATGGAATTCAAAAAATTGGAAAAGATGTTAGCCTGAGGTTTAACACTATGGGTAGTGGTGATTTGCAAATTTTTGATAATGATTGTATGTTCTATGATGGGACAGATCCAGGAATATTTGGTCCCGCAGAGAACTATGGCAAGGATAATGCTCCATTTTTATTCCAAGGAGCTACTGTTCATCCATGTTTTGGTAGATCAAGCAATTTCAAGGCTATGCTCAAGCAATACAAGGGTGCTAAATCCTATGGAAGTCTAAAGGTTGTGACCAGGTCATACAGTGGCCAACAACAGCAGTCTGGTTTGTCATACAGTGGTCATCAACTTGCGGGAAGGCCATATGGAGGGCAACAACAGTTTGTAAGACCATTTGGAGGATTTCAACAGCAACATCATGGCCCAAGAATGAGGCTAGAAATACATCCAGTTCAACTAAGGATGGTGAAGCCACCAGTACCATCTCATCTAGGGTGGCAAGGGGTTTCTCACCCAAAGTTCCCAATGAGTGGTTGGAGGCAAATGGGAGAAATAAGAACTTAGAAAAGGAGAGAACAAAGGAGATTACATGCTATGATGTCTACAGCTACAGGTGATAGGCCAGCTGGAAGACAGGATCTAGTATGGACTAGAGATGGATTGGTTCCTACTGCTGGAGCGGTAGGGAAGGAAATGAAGGTTTCAATTTCTAGAGCCCATCCAGTTCAGCCAATTTAGCTTTTGAAAAGGAAAATGAATCCCAAAAAGACAGATGATAGACCTGTTGGGAAACTCTCTGAAAAGGCTTTGCTAAGGCAGAAGCTGAAAGAATTAGAGAAAGATCTAATGTTTGATGAAGATAACAGTATTGAGAAAGATGTAGCAATGAAGGATGATCAGGATTAGGAAATGGTCACTGATAACATGAATATTAATGAGGAGGTTAAGGAAGATGAAGTCAAGACAAATAGCTCTGATGGTGACTTTGGAGAAAAATTAGCTGCTATTCATTTTGGTTCTTTACCTCCATCCAAAGAGTGTAGCATGATTATGGCCATCCCTCAGAGATTTCAGGCTAGGCCAAGCCAGCTAGATGAATTGGCAGGAGATGTTGAAGATCTGACTGAACCAACAGTTCAGGTAGCAGTGGTTGAGACACAAACCAAGCCACTAAAGTCAATTGAGGTGGTTAGGTCTATCGATGGGGAGAAAGTTGCGCTGAAAAAACCAGAGGTTAAGCTCATCAGGCATCTAAGGCCTTTATATGTCAGAGCTTATTTAGAGGAGGTCCCAGTAGAAAGGGTTTTGATTGATAATGGAGCCATTGTCAATATTCTTCCTTCTAGGACACCGAAAGCTATTGGGAAATTTGTTGATGACTTGCTCCCTACTGATGTGAACATAAGTAATTTTGCTGGTGGATCATCTGAGGCTGGAGGAGTGGTGGCTTTACAACTTCAGGTTGGTTCCAGGTCAATGGGAACAACTTTCTTTGTAATAGACTCCACTTCGAACTACAATGTGCTACTAGGTAGAGATTGGATACACTTTAATGGTTGTGTATCCTCTTCTTTGCACCAGGCATTGATTTTCTTAACTAGTTGTGGTAAAGGAGGGATAGAAGTTTACTGGGTAGATGCAAATCCCTTTGTTGCAGATGTTAATAACATAGAAGCTGTGTTATACGATGAGGATTTGGGTCTAGTTGTGATTGATGAAGTAGAGGTTAAGTCCCAGGGGAAAGATTTGACAAAGAAGAATTCAAGGCCTTCATTGAAGAAGGTTTTAAGCAGATAGGCCATGAATTGGCCAAGCCAAGCCTAATGCAGAAGCAGAAAAGGCCTGTGATAGAAGAGGTTGCTGAGGATGAAGAGTAATGCAAGTACAAGTGATAGAAGAAGACAAGCTGGATGAGACAGCTAATGTAATTAGATCTACTTTTTCTAGGCTTTTTTATTTCTTCTTAGAAAGTAAGTTTGGTGCTAACTGTATGCCCAATTGTTTTTGGGCAGAATGTGTTATTGACAGTAGCCCTCTGAGTTATAAAGAGGTGCAACTGGAGTATGTGAAGGATGCTCCTGCCAAACTTGATGACCTCAAGGCAGATGTGCAGGACCCTTTAGATGAATATAACTTAGGGAGTAAGGCCTGTAAAAGGCCCATCTATGTAAATGCTAATTTATCTAATGAACGTAAGAGCAAGCTAGTTGGTTTGCTTTCTGAGTATGTGGATTGCTTTGCATGGACTTATGAAGAAATGCTTGGATTAGACAGAACATTGTTAGAGCATAGACTCCCAATTAAAGGAAATTTCCTTCCTCATAAACAACCTCCAAGAAGGATGACCAATGAAGTCACCTTATTGGTTAAGGAGGAAATTGAAAGATTACTCAAAGCAGGTTTTATTAGAACAGCCAGGTATGCTGAGTGGCTGTCTAATATTGTCCCTATAATGAAGAAAAATGGCAAGTTAAGAGTATGCATAGACTTTAGAAATCTAAATCTAGCAACTCCTAAGGATGAATATCCTATGCTAGTGGCTAACTTATTAGTGGACTCAATAGCCAAAAGCCGGATTTTGTCCTTTATGGATGATCATGTTGGGTATAATTAGATTTTTATTAACCCAGAAGATATACATAAGACAACCTTTAGGTGTCTTGGTGCTTTGGGGACATTTGAATGGGTAGTCATGCCTTTTGGATTAAAGAATGCAGGGGCAACATACCAAAGGGCAATGAATTTTATTTTCCATGATTTGATTGGCAAATACTTAGAAGTATACATAGATGATGTAGCCATCAAGTCTGACAATTTTGATGAGCATTTGCAGCAGACATTTCAAAGAATGAGAACTTACAAACTCAAGATGAACCCTTTAAAATGTGCATTTGGGGTATCTGCTAGAAATTTTCTAGGCTTCCTAGCACACCATAAAGGGATAGAAGTGGATGCCAACAAAGCCAAAGCAATTTTGGAGGCAAAACCCCTAGCCAACAAGAAAGAGTTGCAAAATTTTCTTGGAAAAGTAAATTTTTTGAGAAGGTTCATAGCCAATTTAGCTAAGAAAACTTTAGCATTTTCTCCTTTGGTAAAAATTAAGTCAGATTATGAGTTTAAGTGGGAGACATGCCATCAAGAAGCTTTTGATCTACTCAAAAAATATTTGGCAAACCCTCCAGTGCTTATGCCCCCAATGGCAAGAAAGCCTTTGAAGTTGTATATCTCAGCTTCTGACCTGTCGATTGGTTGTTTGTTGGCTCAAGAAAATACTATGGGTCATGAGCAAGCCATTTACTACTTAAGTAGAAGGCTAAATGATGCTGAGACTAGGTATAACTCTGTCGAAAAGATGTGCTTGGCACTTTATTTTGCAGCCATTAAATTGAGGCATTACATGTTGCCTGCAAAAGTGTATGTAGTGGCACAAACAGATGTGATTAAATTTATGTTGTCCAAGCCTATCTTGAGAGGAAGACAAGGCAAATGGATACTAGCTTTAATCCAATATTGTTACAAATATGTACCACAAAAAGCGATTAAAGGGCAGGCTTTGGCTGATTTTCTAGCAGAACATCCTTTTTCCTCTGTCGTTTTAGACTTGTATGAGGTCAATGTGGTGGAAAATGAACCTTGGAAGTTAATGTTTGATGGTTCAAAAATAGATGAAGGAGTTGGTGCAGGTGTTGTGTTGATTGCACCAAACAAGCAAATGCACCAATTTGCGTATCAGTTGGAAGCACAACATATTCAGTCTTGCAATCAAGCTAAGTATGAAGCTTTGATAATTGGTCTAGAGTTGGCCATAAAATTCAAAATTAGAAGCCTCCAAGTTTTTGGAGATTCACAGTTGGTCATTAAGCAAGTTTTGGGAGAGTTCAAGTGTGTAAGTGGTGTTCTAGGGGAGTATCTAACTGAGGTCAAATGGTTGATCAGTTTCTTCGACCATGTTACCTTTACACACAGGTATAGATTAGAAAATAAAGAGGCCAATGAGATGGCTCAAGCAGCTTCTGGTTTAAAAAAACCTAAGGGAGCTCAGGAAAGGGTGATTCAAATTAAAAGAAGAAGCTTTTCTGCACTTAGAGATAAATGTAGAAATTTTTTGCCCATTCTCACTTTGGATGTAATAGAGGAGGATTGGAGGTTCCCCTTAATTAAATACCTGTCGAATCCTAGTGAAAAGAGTGATAGACAAATAAGATATCAAGCCCTAAATTATGTAATCATGGGAGAAGATTTATTCAGGAAAGCCCATAATGGGCTGACTTTGCTTTGTATTGGCAAGTTAGACCAAATGAAGGCCATGGCTGAAGCACATGAAGAAATTTGTGGAGCCCATCAAGCTGGTGACAAAATGAGATGGTTGATTAACATGTATGGTTATTTCTGGCCATCTATCAAAAAAGATTGCATAATGTATGCAAAAGGATGTTAGAATTGTTAGAAACATGGTAATATTCAAAGAGTTCCAGCCATAAATCTTCATTCAATAGTAAAACCTTGGCCATTCAGAGGATGGGCTATGGACTTGATAGGGCAAATTTTTCCAACCTCTTCAAAAGCACACTCTTATTTGCTAGTAGCTACTGATTATTTTACTAAATGGGTAGAAGCAGTACCTTTGAAAGTGGTAACACAGACTCAAGTCATTGAATTCTTAAAAAAGAATGTAATTCATAGGTTTGGCTTACCCCAATCCATAACTGTCGATCAAGGCACAATGTTCAATGGGGATGAGATTAAATTAAAGGGTTTTGCCCACAGAATATGGCATACCAATATTAATTTTCTACCCATTATTATGCCCAGCACGAATGGGCAGAGCTAAGGCAACAAACTAAGCATTGTCAAAAAAACACTTTGAAAGGATGGTCTGAAGGCATTCTACGGGATTGGCATAACCTATCAGCAAATGCTGTTAGGCTTATAGAAATTCAAAGATGAAACAGCACAGGAACCAAACTCCCATATGATGGTGTGGTTATGGACTTGATGTTGTGTTCGCCTTCAGAGAGCAACAGTGAAGATCCATCGACTGGCTTAGGCATTGATAATATTCATATGGTGAAATAGTGCAGAGCCCATGTCAATTGAAGTTTGCAGATTGTAGAGAAAAGAAGGTTATGGCATTTAAATCACTTGATAGCCTAAGAAAAGAAAGGTTGAGAGAATTACAACAAAAGGAAAAGTAGGGTGTTTTCTAAAGGAGAGTAGGTGTGGAAAAATTATTCATACAAATTGGCTTAAAAAGCCAAATTATTGGCAAATGGTCTCCAAACTGAGGAAGGGAACCATTTAACATACATAACGGTCATAAAAGGAGGGGCTGTATCATCTTTGCTTCCATAAAGTGAGCCACGTAGAGAGTCTATTAATGAAACGTATCTTAAGAAAATATTAAAGATCTATGTGGGAATGTATAACAGGCCCTGAACATGAAAAGGAACATGGCATGACAAGCTGAGTAAAATATTTGACAGAGCTGAATTAAGAGATATGATAAGATTTTCCATTAAATGCCAGCCAAAAGTACAATTCCAATAAGTATAAATCAAAATAAGATTAATTTGGTCTAGTCTTTCTGAAAATACATGGAAAGTTTCTCCAAGGCTTTGAAGGTAGTTTGTGTTTGAGTTTATTGTGGCCTGAGTTGGCTTGGCGCCTGCCTAATGGCAAATGGACCACCTTCTGCCTTGAGCAAACAGAGTTGGATTTTTGAAGAATTTGTGGTTGTCTTTGTTCCAGAAAAGCTCTTTGAGTTCTCACGTAACTGCTAGTGAGCTTCTAAGTTGCTTTTCATTCTGCTATGAGTGTTAGTAGAATTGGATAGTGAGGGCTTTGTGATTCGGTGGAGCCCTCAGTCAGAGCAGTGACTCTTTTTTTTCACATTTGGTCCGCTTTGAGTTTCAGTTGTCTTTGGCTCAGAGTGGAATTGCATTGATAAGCATGCCAAGTTGTTGGGAGAGTTCCAAAAGGCAAGTTCTTGAAGGCCTTGCACTTGGTCTGATCAAATACATTGAGGCACTAAAGGTACAATGCTTATTAGGCA